GCTGTCATCGCTGGTAGGGAATTCATGTTACACTGTATGATATTTAACACGAATGAGATAAAGCAAATAAAATGTAATCTTTGTTTCCCGCAGCTGCTTGCGCCACCGAAGTCTTTAAAATTGCTACAAGGTTGGTAGTAAAAATCCTGAATTAGATGTGTTTACACAGGTAAAGAAATGGACATTTCTAAGTCTGTACATTTGTCTTCCAGCACATATATTCCTTTAAATAACTACATGGTTTTTAACGATGTGGATGGACTCTACACGTACACCTTTGAAGCTGAACGGAAGGTTTGTTTCCCCCCAGACTCAGCAGGTGGCGGTGTTGTCATCCTTTCATGCGTAGAGTCAACAGATTTACTCTGTGTTTTCTGGGATTTTCAGGAAAATTGTTCAGCGTGCAGCCTGGTGCCTCAGGATCTCCAGTTCCCTCCATCAGCAAAGCTGCAGGAAGTTCTAAAGTACTTGACGGAGAACACCTCGCTGTAAGCATTTCCGGTGACAAGTCTTTGTTTTTCTCCTCCAGCAGCAGTGGGTTTGACAAACACGTTCATGAATCACTGTTTTCCAGGCAAATGAAATCTCCAGCCATCACTACAACACTGGAAGGAAAGAATAAGACACTGTATATACAGGTAATGTTCTCAACCTGTGGATACCGTACGTTGATTATTTACTTCAGATTTTTTCTGTAATGTTGAAATCCTATTTCCACTGCAGTCAGTCAAATCCATTGAGGAACGAACCAGACCAAACCTCTGTAAGACTCTCAAAGGTGAAATACAGAAACGCTGTCACTGCAACTGCACTACGACCGTTTACATCTGCACGTGTTCACGTCTGACCGTTGTCTCTCTTGTGAATCAGAGCTAGGTTTGGCAGACGGTCAGGAACTGGCTGTGGCGGACGTCACCACGCCGCAGACCGTCCTCTTCAAACTCAACTTTACCAACTGAGATTCTGACACGACACACGGCACTGAAATGGGACAGACCGAAGTAGAACAGGGTGTTACATCATCAGGGTACTGTCTTGTTGCACCTTTGTGGAGAGTGATTGCATTAACGATTACACTCACACTTGTGGAATGAGGTTGGTTGGTATTGTTATTTTGTATTTGTTATTTACTTAGTGTATTCGACTCGTGCTGACTAATATTATTGCTGTTCAACTATACCTGTGCTGGTGTGCACCCTACTCCAATAAAAAATTTTATTACCAACATTGTACACATTGTAAGTCTTTGTTTCCCAACAAGTTCTTTGTCAGATTTTATTAAACCTGCAGTAAACAATAGAAAATAAATGTTATTAAACATCTGGGTTTATATAAAACAAACAAAAATCGAAAATTAAATTATAAATAATAAACCAAAATGTGCTAACTTTCTTTATTTTTTTGTTTTTAAGTACTTTTTGACGGACTGGCAAAATGTCCACAGTAAACACTGCCCTCACCTGGTGACTGCTGGTATTGTCTCCAGCTCCCCTACTAACTCTGACAAGGATTAGAGCGTAAAATATCTGGCAACTCAAACCGGGGACTTAACCCGATACTCGAGTCTCTGATACAGTACGGGTTGTGTAACAACAGAGGTTGAACCAGTGACGTGGTTCAAACTTTAAATTCTGGTGCTTTAATCAAAGGTTGATTTTACTTACTCCCATCTTATTAAGTTAAAAAAAAATTCAGCCTTACCTTTACTTATGGATGAAGTCCATGGTTGTATCTCTCGGTTTTCCTTCACCTTAGCATTGTGGACGCTAATGTTCAGTCTCCGTTGTTCATCCAATGCCAAATCGATCCTTGCATTTCCAAAAGGCTTTAAATGTTCGTGGCTGATCTTTCATGTCTGCTGAGGCTTCTTTGTTAATGTTTCAGGTCTCAGTATCCCGAGTTAGTCCAGACGTTATCACACGATGACAATAAAAGACAAGGAAAGCAGTAAAGGCGGTTTCTTACAGGACAGACACACAGCCAGTCTTTTCGTTTGTACCACTCCATTTAAAAATAACTCTTTTGTCCCGTAGTTTGAAGCTAACCTATTAGCTGGTCTTCCATCGCCTATCTTCTGTTTGGACCGGAAGTCCAGTTTCGAGAAATGATTTCCATCTTGAGCCTACTACTGGCTCTAGTTTTCACCTTTTAATTGCCGGTTGACGCCAGCTGGAGAGCACCTGTCAGTTCACGTACGACCCCTTGAGGTGAGACAGGGTACTGCCCGACTTTTCTCTACACTTTATTGGCTGAGAAACAGAAACCTGCAAGCGTCATGTGACCCAGTGCGTAGTGCATCGCGCAGTCAGAAATGAGGTTTTTACTTAATAAAATGTAAAAAATGTGTAGAGTCAGATCAGTGGAAAATATTAATATGTATTGTATGTACTTTTTTCTTTTTTATCATGATGGCAGGTGAGGCAACCATCACTGTCCAACTGAACTCACTAAAATTACTTTTTTCAGTTTTTACTTTCTTATGTTCCATATTTTTGTAACACAAAACCTTAAAATAATAAAATAAAAATCCTCGGCGCGTAACGTAAACAAAATTCAAGTAAAGGTTAAACAAAAATACTTTAAGCTTCTTATGGCGCTAATGAAAGTGTCCGGACTTTGTCCGAGAGCCAGATGGTTTGTGTTTGACGAAGTTTTAATTCGGAGCTGACACAGGGACCGTGATCTCCTCACTGTGTCACAGATCACTATTGTATGTACTTTTTTCTCCTCCTCCTCCTCTTCCTCCTCATCCTCCACACCCCGGAGGACGGAGGCACCAGGAGACTGTAGAGTCAACTGTAGGAGTGCGTCCTCTTCAGGTAGTTTTCAACGTTTTGTTTTAAAAGCTACAATACAGGGAAACTTGCGGGGTCACGGATGACGAGGGATAAACTTTAGTTTTCTTCCATGTGACGTCAGAGGATGCGTTTGATTTCACCACAGACGCTGGTGGAGTTTTGAGCTGCGGTTCATTAACCTTAAAGTCGGTGAGTAGCGGTTGAACGTCATGAATTATTTATTAGTAATATTATTAAAAACGATAAAAAATAATATATACTAACATTAATAAAACATAACAATGATATAATAATATTGTAATTTTTCACTTAATTCAATTCGTGACCACGGAGTTGAACTGACAGGTATGTCGTCATCACGGATTGTTTACAAAATCTTTAGCCCATAAGTTAATTAACTACAAACACATTAAGATCATGCATTTTGACAGCTTACATTTAAGTTTTAATTACAAACAAGTGTTTTGTTTGGTCACAACATTGACATTGGGCTAACTGTTTTGCTACAAGTGTTCGTCTCTCACGGAGCTGTATCAACGCTGCCTTGAACGCTGCCCATCTTCAGTGAATCATGCAGAACTGTATTTGTTTTCCCTGGCTTTGAGAGTTGCAGCTGCAGAGATAATAAAACAAATCAGAAATGCGAGCGAGGGCCAACACTCAGCCGCTGCCTCATAATGTACCTCCGCTGGGCTTTTATTGGCAAGTCCTTGATTTGCCTTGGCTGAGCTCAGCCGTGTGAGAAACACCGTTTAGTAAATAGATGCACTGATCTGATAAACCAGGGTCAGGAGACGCAGGGTAGGTAATAATGTGGCGGGGTTTTTTTTATTATTTTACTGCAGGGTAGGTAATAATGTGGCGGGGGTGTTTTTTTATATTATTTTTCTTTTTTTTCTGTCAGACTCCACGGTTTCAGAAAGACTATCTTTTTTTCTTGTGCAGGTTTAAGATGAGGGTGAACGCACGGGAGGGGTCGTTTCTCTGGGGTCTCCTGCTGCTTTGCATCTGGAGCCTGTGCAGCCAACAAGTGTCCACTGGCAACCAAAGCTCCGGAGGACAGACAGGTGGGTGTTAGACAAGAGTGCACATCCAGAGGGACTCATTACGGCTCATGGTCACCAGCCTGACGGCCTGGGAGAGAGTTTACGGCTCCGGACCCTGAGTCTCATCTGTTTACAGACAGAGCCAAACTGTTTGCTGACGTCACAAAGACGCGATATTGTGATAAAGTTATATTCCTATACAGACAGTTACTGAAGTATTCTCTGTGAAAGTATGTTCAGGAAAATACTCAGAGTAACGTGTCAAAAAAGGAGGACACACGTGTGCGTTACTTGTCAACGCACTTCTCCCGTCTTGCTTTTCGGCAACTTTTGCGCGGTGGCCCACTTTTGACAATAAGCTTCTTCAAATAGTCATAAGATAAATAATAAAACTGTAGGAAAAGAACAAACACCTGTCAGTCTGTACTTGGGATTTAGAGATTTCCACAAAACCTCTTTGAATAAAATATTAGCTCTAGTTAAATGTCGCCAGTTCATGGTGTTTGTTGTTAGGATTTTCTCTGTCACAGGTACACATCAGTCTGAACAATAAATTATTTTAACCTGCACTGAAATAAATGTAAATAAAAATAAAAATACGAAGATGAATCTGTTCATGAAGTTTAAAGTACCTTAACGAATAAGAATAAGAGTCAGAGTGACACGTTAAGGTGTCTGTGTTTTCTGTAGAATTCGGAGCTTTGAATGTGTTCTGAATTTAAACTCCAATAAAAACACAAACCCAGTTTTCAGACTTGCTGGTGTCAGTCATCAAACAGAATAACTGATGTTTGAAGACAGACGTTTGACTGGGATTTTTATTTTCAATTTTACCTTTTCTTTTGTAGTTAGAAAAATAATAAATAATAAAAAGATATTACAGTTTCAGCACACAAAGAACGTAACAACGGCAAATAGAAAGACTAGAAAAATAAAATAATATAGAACAGAATGTATTAAGTATGCTGAAGAAAAAGAAACAAGTTGCAGTAGACAAGTGTCCCGCAAATGGCGTCCTTTGGTCTGCATCTGGCCCACGAGCCACCTATTTGAACATGTAAAAACAGGCTGGTTCCTTTGTTTTCAATGTGACCAACTCTAGTAATGGATAATAAATCTCTATTATCTTTTTTTTTTAAACTTTTAATTCTACTAAATTTCGGGTAGTAATGGATAATAAATCTCTATTATCATTTTTTTAAGCTTTTAATTCTACTAAATTTCGGGGAAAACACAAGACAAATGTTCGGCAGCTGAACAAACCGAGCACGGCATGGTGGTTCAGTGGTTGGCGCCTTTGCTTCACAGCACGAACAGGGGAAATCGTCATGTGATGTGGAGTGGCTGCTTGTCCCCGAAAATTATTTTATCGATAATCTCAAGAGCACTTCCACTTTCTACCCACTGGGTGGTGCTATAGCTCTAGAAACCTCTACAGTAGGTTCGTCAGTACGCAGCGCTGTCTGTGCTGATTGGGTCATCAGAGTTTGAAAGGATTGGTGAGTATTTTCATCATTACTGAGGCAGTAGTTATCTGGAGGGTCAGTAATTACCGGCAGAAATGATAAGAGAAATTGTCACCTTCTCCCTGTAAACGTTCCTCCTCAGGGTCGTCGCAGGAGAGGACGGGGACTTGTGAAGTGGTCGCCGCTCATCGCTGCTGCAATAAGAACAAGATTGAGGAACGCTCTCAAACAGTCAAGTGCTCCTGCTTCCCAGGACAGGTGGCGGGGACAACGAGGTCTCTGCCCTCTTGTGTTGATGGTAATACTACCCAACACCCACTTCACGCCCCACTTCAACAAAACACACTCACATGGCGTGAATGCACAATTTGTCCAATTTGACTGTGCAGGGTCAGTCTGCCTGAGTGCACCCTTCTCCTCCGCCCCATCCCACCCCCGAAGAAGTCAGATTTTAAAGTCTTTTTTATCCAAATAAATTGACCTTCAGCTCTGTTCTCTTTCACCCTAGCTTCCATTGTGCATCAGAAATGGTGGTGTAAAATGGAGCCCTGTCTGGAGGAGGAGCAGTGCCGGGTGCTCCCTGACCTCACCGGCTGGTCCTGCATCTCCGGGAACAAAATAAAGACCACAAAGGTGAGAGTTAAAACCCTGCGTTGGTCTGAGTCACCGTGACACGCGAAAATAAAATAAAAAAAAAATCACTGGGACACGCGAAAATAAAATAAAAAAAAAAAAATCACTGAAAAAGAAAAAGTCAGTTTGAGAATAGAGATTTTTTTTATAGAGACAAATGGAGTCAGAACATAAAGCATGGCATTTATTTTTATCGCTCTTAAGCAGACAGTGGGTGACAGACTGCTGAACGCTCTTCAGAGCTGCATTCACTAAAGTCTTCTTTGCTGCTGGAAGACTGTTGTGAAAACCATAATCGCTGCTCCCTGTGGCCACATCAACCCTCTGCACCAGACAGAGTGGGCCTTGGAAAAAAAAAACAGTTCTCCAATCAGGAGGACGAACATATTGAGCAAAGGAACGTGGAAAAAATAAAATGCTTCCAAAACCCTTTGACCGACTGTTCTATATGTATAATAATCAGAGGAGACTGGGGCTACTTCACTGTCCTAGGTAAAAGTATGGTTTATGGCGCCCCCTCCAGCCTGGAGCAGGAGACTCCCTGGTGGGATGGCCTATGCGTCCAGTGCTAAGAGCCGGCTCTTCGCTTTGTAACATGGGGCAACGAGAGGGGCAGTTGGCAGGCAGTGATGAGTATAAGCGCTCGGTACTATTGATCAACAGAAATAATAGAAGACACCGGAGCTTTTCACTGTCCTACACCGGCGGACGACAGAAGTTGTAGTAACTTTAAACCACGTGTCCCTTACCCTTGCTCTGACATCATCGATTTGAGCAGATGTTTGACCAAAAATAGACTCGATGTCTGTGGTGGATGTCCGCTGAGGACGGGTTTTTTTAAAAAAAAGATTTGATAATTTGAAGTCTGACGATGAGCAAAACGTACACAGAGAAAACCTCTCCAAACTATAAATCCGATATTAGCATAATTGTGTAATATCTTGTCAGAATTGTTAATGGTTAATCCGATATTAGCATAATTGTGTAATATGTTGTGAAATGTGGGTGTTGTGAAATGATGTGTGGTCAAAAAATAGTTTAATGCCACTGTGGAGGTCATGGGGGTGGGGGCCACCTTACCCACTAGACCACCAGTCCCTCGCTGTATCAGTATAGGTTAATATCATAATCGTAAATTAAGTGTTTGGACAATATCGGCAAAAACTTCATATCAGACATCCCTAATTATGTTAAATCAGAATGGACAGTATGTACATTTATTTATTTATTTTTTTTTTACAGGTGGCCAGCTAGCCAGACAGAAGTTCAGATTCTCCCCTGAAGTGCTGCAGTCATCGTAACCCGACACTGGACCGTGAACGCCTCGTCAAATTCCTGCCGGCGAGGATTTCCCCCTCAGCTCCTCATTATGCACCCCCCCCCCCGCCGCCCCCCCCACCCCACTCCGCTTTGGTTTAAGATGAAGTTAATCTCACAGATTGGACAAGCTATTAGCCGTCGATGTAAATTCATATTCCAGTCGGAGCAGACGGCTCCTCCGCACTGGTCTGTATCGTCGCTCCAGTGTTTGATATGCAGGGCACAGGTCTGTGATTCACTCAATCAAAGTTTGGATGGGCCTCCTGGCAGTCACTTAAAAAGAGATTTTGTGGATTTTCACCAGACAGAATGTGAATCCAGTCCGGGGTCTGTGACTGTGTGTGTGTGTGTGTGTGTGTGTGTGTGTGTATCCTGATCAAGGACCACAGATACTGAGCAGTTCATGTAGCACGTGTAAACACTACTGTCCTGTAGACAAGTTTTATAGAGAGGTCCCATCCCTTTGGACTGGGTCTCCACACACACACACACACACACACACACACAAACACACACAGAGAGACGCATACTGTTGCTTTTCAGCTCCAGTGATTGGACAGGCCACCTCCTGCAATGCCGTGATGGCGTGCACACAAGCATGAAGCCTTGATGCTAAACAAGGAGCGTTTGAAATGCTAATCATGGGGAGACAGAGGGAGGGGGGAGAGAGGGGAGAGAGGGGGGGAGAGAGATGGGAGAAGGGAAGCGTCTCCACTGCTGGGAGTATTTACAGCATGCTCTTTGTTTGTCTGAACGCTCCTGTGGAGGGGACTCCTCTGATAACCAGCCGACAGAAGCAGCAGATTTCCTCTGCCTTGAAGCCGTGGTACAGACGGGAAGAAGAATAATCTGGAATATTAACTATAACTAGGTCAGGTCAGGGGGGTCAAGAGTTAAAACAACGTAAAGAAAAAACTGTCAAAAAGTTCTAAGACGATCGGTATTTGTCATCATTCAGGTTTTGGTTAACTTTCACTGGGAGATAATTTGAAATCCGAGCAGACGTCAAAAGTTTTGAACACAAACCTAAGTGAAAAATTTAATTAAATTAAAGTTAACAAAGCTTCACAGCAGGTGTAGATCCACAGCAGCTCCATCGTTGTTGTTTTTTTATATTTTCCCAAAACTGAAAGAACATTTGAGTTTGAGTCTTGTTGTTTTCTCGTCTTCCTTTTAAATACTTCAGATCAGTGCTAATACAACAATACCTCTAAATGACATGTTTTATATATTATTAATGTAAATGTTTTCTTTTATATCCTGATCTTAGTCTTCACCAGGTTCACTCTGTGATGATCTACTGCCTGATGAAATGTGACTGATTTGTCTTTAAGTATCAAATATAATTCAACATGATTAAAACAAAAAAAAACCAAACATTTTAAACATTTCCAGATGGAGAAAACAGACCGACTGAACATTTTTGACGATCTCGTCTGTTTCTCAGCCTGGAATAATCAATAGGATTTATCTTTGTCATCTGGCGACAGATACATGGAATGATTCATCTGAAGAACAACGGACAGGAGAATCCTCAGTGAGATTAATGAGCCTTCAACTTTGAAATTGTTTGTCACATTTGATTTTATTTCAGCGACGGCGGCTGAAGCCTCGGCAGAAGATTTTGTAATGTATGATGTAGGGCAACTGTGGGAGTTAAAACAAATATGTCGATGTTTGACCTCCGCTGGGGCTCTGACCACGAGTGGAAGCCGAGTCGACCAGTAATTTATTTGAACGTATTTTTTTTCTTCAAAGGTGTCCAGAATTTTACTGCATAATACTGCAGTTTTAATGGAAATACTTTTTTAATAAGAGAGGGTTACGTGTGTGTCATAGCTACTTGGCGTCTTCAACATGGGGTGTCAAACATGTGGCCCGCAGGCCAAATCTGGCCCGTTAGGGGATTCAATCTGGCCCGCTGGATGAATTTTTGTACAAACAAAAAAAATGGACAAACACTTCATGTTTATAATAAAATGTTTTGTGAAATAATATTTCATTAAATATGAAGATGGTCTAAAGTATTTCTTTACATGAAAACAAAGGGGAAAAACTTTATATATAAATATAAAAAATAAATTTATAGGTAATTATGTATTCATCACACTGGTCCGGCCCACCTGACGTCTAATTAGGCTGCATGTGGCCCCTGAACAAAAATGAATTGGACACTCCTGCTCTAGGGGATTGCAAATCCTGCTAGTTCTGGCGCCCCCGTGTGTCCCTCCTCCAGCCTCTGTTGTTACTTCTGTTTTTTTAAATTCTGAACCTCACTGTGAACGAGCATTTGAAATTCTTTTTGATAAAGGACTAATATAGGAGCAAATTATTTTAACGTTTGTGCCGAAAGCGACAACCCGCGTTCAGGGATTTGTGCCTCCCCCTTCCTCACCCACCGCCAACATTGCCAAAAGACGTAACTGTCATTTTAATTTTCCATTTACTTTCAAAGGATCCTGCTTGACAGGTTTTAGGTGACTTTTAGATTCATCTCAGACAAAACACCAAAACCTGCATAATTACTTGTTTTTCCGTGTTTTATTTGTAGGTTGAAGCTAAAACCTGTATAAAAGCTTGAGCTCTGAGGTTGTGTTGAAGACCCCTAGAGCATCTGTCAAATATCAGGGCTATATGAAGTAAAGAATGGAAAGGAATTCCAAGGGGAAACATTAAAAATAAGGAATTCAACGTTGGAGCTTCAGCGTCCTTCCTCAAGGAGAATAAGTTGTGGCTCGGCAAAACCAAAGCAGAAGAAGAAAATAATGATGTTCTTATTTTCTTCATTTCCATTTTTTTTTTCAATGGATAATACATTTATCTTTAATAATAAAAATAATTTCCCATTACTTTAACTGAACTACGAAGCCTCTGTGACTTTCATAAAAATCTCAGGAAAGTAAAAAAAAAAGGATAAAAAAAATTCAAGTTTTAAAATCATCTACATATTTACATATTCATGAAGTTTTCTAAAATATTTGATTTGTCAGTTAGACCTAAAATCTCAGAGCTTTTGTTCAAAGAACTGAACATTTAACACTGTAGTTACAGCGTCCTTCCTCTAGGAGGAACAGTGGTTACATGTTTTTCTGTTGAGATAAAAGTCTTTAAATAATTTCCAGGCATAAAAAAAATTAATTACTTGGTCTTGACATAAAGTATAATTAAAAAAAAAAAAGTTGGGCTGTGATAGGGACCCACTGAACCACAGCACTGGAGACAGTGGTTTGTGTTAACAAACAGTAAACACAGTATCTGGGGGGAAATAAAAACCACTGCTTCCTCCAACAACAACATTTCCTTCATCTAAACATGACACATGTAATAAAAATGTAAAGTCGATTTCCAGTGATCACAGTGTGTTTCTTTTCTGGTAAACCTATACTTGAGGGGACACCTTTTTTTTTGTCGTGCTTAGTTAAATAATTTCCAGGCATAAAAAAAATTAATTACTTGGTCTTGACATAAAGTATAATTAAAAAAAAAAAAGTTGGGCTGTGATAGGGACCCACTGAACCACAGCACTGGAGACAGTGGTTTGTGTTAACAAACAGTAAACACAGTATCTGGGGGGAAAATAAAAACCACTGCTTCCTCCAACAACAACATTTCCTTCATCTAAACATGACACATGTAATAAAAATATAAAGTCAATTTCCAGTGATCACGACGTTGTCGTTCAGAGTCATGTGGTTTTGTTATAGTTAGGCCTTTTGGGTCCAATCTGATACATTATTTTCCTAAAATTTTGGCTAACACCGGATCAACACCGACCCTCTGAACCTAGTCTGGTCCTGACGCATTAGTCGTGACGGAGAGCAGTTGTTTGTTTTATTTCAGACCAACTCTGAGTGGAGACTGAAACCAAAATAATAATAAAAAAACTCCATTAATTAAGCTCTGAAAAGACTCTGTCTCATTTGTCAAATTAATAAGGTGGATTTTGTTGTTTGTTTCTAGGCCAGTATGTGGCGCTGCACTAATGTTGAGCCTCCACTGTCTTACCGTTGCACTAAACACACACACGAGCTTCAAAGTGTTATCGATCTGCTAAATAACTCAGGCCGAAGGTGAAAATGTCTGCAGTAATTCTCAGGGTGTAGAGATTTTTCTTTAAAAATTCAACTCGCCGTGTTTCTTCTTTCTGAGTCAACATTTCAGCGAGGAAGAAAAAAAAAATGTCTACAGTATTTGACCAATCGCTGTGAACCTCATTCAAACCCCTTTTTCCCTTTTTTTTTTCGGCTAAGTGTTAGCCAAGTGTGTGTGTGCATCTATCTTCCCCAGCAGGATAACCTCATGTCCTGAACTATTTTTAATACGTCTGCTGCAACTAAATGTGATTTGCCGTCAGTCTTCATTAGAATAAAGAGCAAGGTTGAGCCCAGAATGACAAGGAAGAAAATATCCTACAGCCAGACACCAGAGACAGGCAGAAAGTTCGGCTGCTCATTCCACGTCTTTTGCTTCGACGGATGTCAGTCACATTATCGACTTATTTTGCACCGAACCACCAGAAAATACGATTTTCAAACGTTCAGTTCCGTCTTGATAAAACACATTAAAACACATTGAAAAATGAAACCCAGACATTAAGTAGAGTCAAAAAGGGATGGAGTTTTACTCCTCTTGACAGTACTGTATGCTACAGTACGTCGATGACTACAAAGACTTTCATTCAAGGCAGCTTCTATTTTCCCACTTATTCAAAAGGAAAGCCTTGGAGTATTTATCCTTCATTCATGACTGGAATTTGCTGCAGTTTCTGTGGAATTTGTCAGTTGGGTATTAAGCTTAAGCTTTTAGCTAGAGCGTACAATCCTCTTTCCCAGGATGAGGCCGGCAACTTGTTCAACACCCGTTGATTTTTAAGCAGTCATGTCGGGTTCGGAACACACCTGGAATCCAAACATGTCGTTGTTCTTGTCTTTCCTGTGTCATGTGATTTCATTAGATGACATTTGATTTGATTTTCTTGCCTCCAAACAACCAACATGAACAGAATGGCTCTGACATAACTCAATATTAGCTGCTGCAGTCGACTGCGTCCTAGTGTTGTTGTGAATCGGTTGAGGTTTGCTTCCTGCGATCCAGACTTTTTTTTTTTCTTTGTGAGGACCTAACTTCATGAAAGTTCTCTGCATGAATCATTTAGATGAAAGCCTGGGGAGGAGTGTGGAAGGACCAAGAGACACCTGATGTCAACTTTAATTAGGATCCTGTTTGGACTGTGTTACCTTGACTTTGAAATTCACAAATCCTGCAGGGGCAGTGAAGACAGTTCTTGGATTAGGGATGTGATTAAACTGACTAATGTAGCCAGTCGCCTGATGCTAAATAACAATTCTCTCTCTGTTTAATAACGTCAGGTTTAACATGGGAATAAACATCACCGCTTCAAGACTGCATTACCCCCGGAACGGCTGGAGTATGATGCTAATCTATGATGTTATTGAAAAACATTGCAAGCATTATTGTCAAGAGTATTTTTTCTACCACAGTATTTCAAGCCAAGATCACTGTCTCAATGCAAAACATGCTACAGTGAGCACAGACACGAGAGCTAACCATAGCTACAACAGTCCTGGTACAGACACAAGAGCTAATGTCAGCTGTAACATACCTGGTATAGACACAAGGCTAATGGTAGCTACACCAGGCCTGGTACAGACAGCAGAGCTAATGTTAGCTACAGCAGTCATGGTGGTACAGACAGGCTAATGTTAGCTACAACATTAGAAGTTCAGAGACAAAAATGTCATGAAATATCGACTCCACCAGCTGTGATTGTACTGTGAGTGTGGACCACTCTGTAAATGTAGAAGACAGATGACAAATAGACCGATTTTTCTAGATTTAATAAAACCTCAATTGATTGCAATGTGAAAGCCATAAATTAACTGACTTTTTTCAAAAACAAAATTTCGCCGCACCACAAGTTATTTCACACTTCACAGCTCACAGGCATTGTGTCTGGATTGAAGACGAACCTTGATATTCCTAAGAACACAGCGACAGCGTCCATGTGCAGGGACAGGAACTGTCTGATGGTTTTCAGAACCAGAGCCACGGGCCTGGATTCCCAGGTTGTCCCTGGTGTGTCATGAGAAGACGTCAGGACACATCACCATCACTTTTGTCTTTTACCCGACCCCCACTCACAGACACAGCGTGTGATGCTGCACATCTCCATCTTACACATGACGCTCATTTCGTAGTCCCACGTTGGACGCGAAGACGTGTCAGTTAGCTTGTTAGCCGTCCTCGCCCCAAGCAAAAACGAAGACATAAACAGCATTTAATGCACTGCGGTCACTGCAGCCTCCAGTGTTGTGATGATTTTGTATTTATTCTGCACAACCCACTTCATGCACGGAGCCAAACAGGCAGCACGAACAAAGGCAGAACCGCAGCCAAAACGCTGCTACTGTTCTTTCCTACTGTCGTTTGAAAAAACCTCCAATTACACTGTTTTTTTTTAAAATATATATTTTTTCCAAAGTTTTGATCTGGTTACACTTTGTAATACCCACAAGCTCAGCTCTTTCTTGTCCCAATGTTCCAGTGAGCTGGTCTTAGATATATTTTTCTAAACCAGACAAAGTCTTGTTCGTGTGAAGCTACTTCTTGAAGTTGTTCCTCAGTCACAGACAGTGGCTGCTGCAGCCTACACCGTCTACGGCTTGTTATTTCATCCCACAATGTGCGCAAGATACCTTTGAAGACCATGATCAGAGGCGGGTACAACAAATGCTCCCATGAACCTTTGTCAGTTGTTCTTCAGACACTGACGCTGGTGCTCGTTTTGACGATTCTGATTTAGTCTTCGTCGTAGATTGCTACACTCAGAGTAAATTAGAACTGTGCCAAGGTTCATTCTTCAACTGTATGAATGATACGTTTCCCTTTCAAATTTTAAATTACGCCTTGCAATGACCAGTTTATCACCAGAAGGGTAGCCACGAATTTGTCAGATGGCCAGAAATTTTCTGGACAGACACCTTCTGGGCCAGACACTCAAATAAAATAAAAAATATATATTAATAGTTATTTAACTCTCATTTGTTACAGCGAACGTCAACTGGTGGCCCGCGGTCTGGATTTAGCCCCTGAGCCACCAGTTGATGATCACTGTTTTATCGTGTGTAAAAACCAATTTATTTTTCTGATCGTATGTGCAACCAGTGCAATGACAACATTAACAACTTTATTGTAATAAATACTAGTCCACAGTGAACGCTCGCGTCACTCACGCTAGTAAAAGTTAAACGTTTTTTCATTCGCTAGATGTATTTACTAATAGACCATAAACTGACCGAGTACATAAACCACAGCGATCTCCTGCGGGAGTAGCCGGGTGACACGACTACACCTATCCAGGTCTGAAGTACACTTAGGTTTTGATGCTGTCGTTAATCAGCTGAGAGAAAGTCCACCTCGGGGGGTTAGCATGCTGCTGCTATTTCAGGAAGCTCGTAGAAATGACCACATTTAGTACCTGGCCTAATAAAGGGCTCATTTTTTAACCAAATATTTTCACCGTATGTCGGGAGTTTTGCATTTTAAACAGGTCGAGTGAAGAGAACAGAGTAAAGAGATGAATCTGAATGAACACCGGGGGTGAAAGTGAAACAGGTGGGAGAGGAAGAAAAAACACTGCTTTCATTTTTCCAGAAAATGGATGAAGCCCACACTCGGTACCAGCGGTGAGCCGGTGTTCTGACTGGAATAAATCCTGAGGGGCCCAGGCTGTGGAAGATCCTGCTGTGATACTGCATCAAAAGTGCTGTAAATACTGCAGCGGGACCTGGTACCATTTATCTGTCTGTGATAAGTTCTTTGTTTTACACAGTTTCTCACTGTTCTGCGACTGTACTGTAGTGTTTAACAAGAAGTAAAGAGATGAGTTCTGACTGCTTTGAATTCAGAGTACAACCCAGCAAGTACATGAATTCGAATAGTTTTTTGTTTAGACCAGACCTGGGCAATCTAGGGCCTGTGGCCCAGATACGGCACGCTGGGCTTTCTAATCCGTCCCGTCAAACACATGTACAAGATATAGTAAAGACTGATGTCATACCTGCTGTTTCATGCATTACAGCGAATCAAATGTAATTTCTGTTTATGCTGCTAGATGGCGACATACATCAAATGTGCAAAATTATCTCTGAAATTATCTTAGGGGCAGTGAAACAATCTAGGCACGACGTTTCGAGATCCTCTGCGTGTTCCTCACAACAGTTTCATTTTAATTTTGTTCACACTGAAAACGTTGTTGATCCATTACGATTCATTTTTGCACAGATCCAATGCCAACACAAATAAAAGAAAGCTAATGCAGCACAACCCAAACTATGGCGTACAACCAGTGAATGTAAACAAAGTCGTCATCTGCGTATAGCAACGCGTAACGACATGTTTGTCCACTTCACTATTCTTTTTTGGTACGTTGAAATGACACACCAAGCTTTTCGACAACCATAGGCTGACGATGTCGTAAACGGAGGACTTCCTGTGTATTAACTTGTACACCTTATTACCACTGTTAATTTTGCACATTTCATATATGGGAGGGGTGAGAAGAGGAGCCTGATCATTGGACTGAATCTAAGATCTAAGAACCAACGAATTACCAACTGGTAATTACACTTTAATTGAGAACATTTGATCCAAACTGCGGGGCCCATCTTTAAAAAAAAAACTAATTGCTCGTTTGTCCTCTGCGTGTATTTGCCAATGACACAGCGGAGTCTTGACCTTGGTCAGGACAGTATCAAAGATTCATTCACGGTTCCTGGAGCAGTGACTTTAATAACGTTTTCAGCACATATCAATCCATGGCTTCATATATACAACATCATCATCACGTGAATGACTCGACACAAATAAGGCATTTCCTGTGTCCAAAAATCAACCCACGTTTGTTTGCCCATTTCTGTGACTCAACCCCGTCAGGGGAGCGGTTGGAGTTCATCAAAGAGAACAAATACCACACAAACCAGTGGTAATATGTGAAGGATGAAGACACAGACGCAGTATTTTTCAGACAAGCTCATGTCGACGTATTTGTTTAATCCGCCCAAATCCTTGCACCCCTCGGCAGTTTGGCCATGTAGTGCTGTGCGAAAAGTGGGATCGACGATGCATTCAGGGACTCAAAGGATCGATATTCACCAACACCACCATGAATCTAGTTTGTATTCACAAAAACTGACAAAGAACATATGTACAATATTCTGTCCTCTTTGTGTACTGAAAGAAGGAAATAAACTCCTGAGGGCTGACGACTCTCCGCTCACTGCGTGTCCTTTCATCTACTCTCTCTGCCGTGCTCCAATCGTCTGTCCTACAGTTTGTGAAGGAGCGACATCAGATGCTGTGTCCAAAACCCTGACATTCTGCAGCACTCCATCAGCAGGTTTTAAAAGAAACGATGAAACTATATTCATTACATGGTCGTGATGACATCGCCTGCGGGCTCTTCGTAGTCAGTTTTCTCAGGCGCAGGATGTGCTTTGTGTATTTTTACATCTTTTTGTTTCTTTTAACACTTAATTCAGAGAAGTGCTCGGATTTTGTAGAGCAACACGGGTTTTATTGTCTTTGTGGTAATTGGTCCTGTGATGGCGCTGGAAGAGGAAGAGAAGACGTGTCGTCAGGAGGATGTGAATATCAGTTAAATAAAAAAAAAAGAACAAACTTTAACTGTGAACACATCACACATCCCTCGCAGTTGTGTGATGTACTCGGTACAACTCGATTTCCGTCGTAAACCGGAACTCACATGCTGTACCACCAGCACAGTGGTAACATCATAATCTAGGACATTAAATCACCAGAGAGTCTGACTTATGCTCGGTGGTCATAAAAACGGACAAAAAGAAATAAAAAAAAGTGAATGTCATACAATCCAATGTACGGCGTAAAACAGCAAATGTAAACAAAGCCGTCGTCTGCATATACGTAGTGTCATCTGATTCCTCCGCTCCGTTCACAGTATAGTTCCATTGCGTTTGTCGAGTTTTAGCGCCGTACGTTGAAATGTTGGAACAAGACTTTCTTAATAAATTTATGGCAGATGTAATGACGTAACCACGGAAACACCGTACGTCAAGGGCGTCGTAAACTGAGTACCGCCTGTAATATATAAATGGCAGGTAAAAAAAAATTCGGATCAGAAAATTCTAATGTTTATGTCACTGCGACTGAGGCCCAGCTGTGTCAGATTTGAATCTTTACAGTGGTCCCTCTCCTATCGCGCAATGTGAAATTTTGCTATATTTGGCGATGCAGACAACATTTCACGAGATCAGACTAAAAGAACAAAATCTGCGATTAACTGAGGGAGCGAAAGCAGAACTGCAATATAGAGCGGGAACTCTGTATTCCTGTCTTATTAAAATATCGGTTCGCCAAATAACCAGACTATCTCCATCTCTTGTAGACTTTGCTCAAGCAGGAATCTCGGCTACGTTCTGGGGATCAAATCTTGTAGTGTTTCCACAGCTCCAATCCTTCCACGTGTACCCGTCTGAACGAAGAGACTAACCTCCAAATTAACCCTCGCACCAGAGGGCATTTTGTTGCATCCTTTTCCAGCAGGTGTTAATAGGTGGATGTCGTGTATGGCTGGGTGTTCTGACGGGGAGAGGAGAGAGGGGTGAGACAGCGCTGTTACAAGTCTATCTGCAGTGAAATCCACCCCCAACAAATGTCCATGCTTTCCTTGATGCTACAGCTGTAGCAGCAGCTTCCTGTACATTTCTCTCCCGCTGCTATAATGTCTCATTTTCTTTCATGGTCAGGAGAGGTTATCTTACCCTTGTGGTTTTGATCTTGTTGCCGGCGTAGCACATCCAGCCCGAGTTGTCAGGGAGCGTCTTGCATTCCTCCCCCTCCAGGCAAGGCTCCATCTCACACCACCACTTTCCAATTACTATGGACGCTACGGGCAACAAAGACAAGAGAAATACTGACGGCGGTACCTTTCACCCTAACAGAGCGTGAAGCCTCCCAGTATTTCTGATAGTCCACAGTCAGATGGTAATTAGGACTAATGCTGATAATAGAATAAAATGGTGGTCTCATGCACATGTATGCGTGGTTCAATGTGGATTGTCACGGCGTGATTCCTTTATTATTAGCAGGTGTGCTGGAATGCAGAGGTTGGAGGTGAGGCTTTTGACTGAGCGCCTGAAACAGTGGGTTCCACTCTGACTTGACTTTAATGTATGCCACATTCCTGTCATGCAGGGAGAAAATTGCCTTAAATACAGGGTAAGTAGACAGTGAATTGTTTGTAATGTGTCGCAGAGGGAAAAGAAAAAAAATCTGTCAGAGCTAACACTGAAAGACCTCCAATTTCCCCCCCGTCCGTGCAGACACTGCAGTAATATTTGCAAAGGGATTTAAGAAAAAAAAAAAAGAGACTGCAGGTGAGGGTGACGCTGTACAGACTCTGAAGAGCTGGGCACAGAATCCATTTCTTACCAGTGCGTGAGTCTGTATTACAGATGTTTGTTGACGTCGAGGATGTTTTCAGACGATTAAGAACAAATGATTTGAACATGTGATTGGAACACGCATCACGATTAATCGTGATTAAGCGTTACACACGTAATCATTTCATTTAATCAAACCATTTTAAACATGTGTTTGACTTCATCGTCTGAAAACATCTTTGATGTCAACACGATTAATCACGATTAATCGTGATTAATCTACAGCTAAATAACAGATTTTTTTTCTTTATTGAATTTTTTTTTAAACGTGCGATTTTAAACAAGTGTTTGATTTTTCAGTTTTGGGAAAATGACAAAAAATATTTCGCAGAACTTTAGTCTTGTTAGCGCGTTGACTGAATAAAGAAATTCTGGGGGATTTCTGTGGCAGCAGGTCACAACCTGATTCTTTTTTTCTTTCAGTTTTGTGAAGAGAAAACAGTCAATTTAATAAAAGTGAAAGTTGTTTTTTAATGTTTGTTTAAAAAAATGTTGTTTTCTCATTATATATCCTCATATAACAACCCAGAAACTGACAAAATCATAAAAGTCTCCAACAGTCTCAGTGAAAATGTCTCTTCATAGAGTTGGTGTATTTCAGTCATTACTGTTCATCTGGACGGTGTCTTGGAGAACGTGTGGAGAGTTTCTTTCTAGACTGCAGTCTGTTGCGACTGTTGTGTCAGTCATAGACTCACTGACTGTCCTGATCTGTGTCAGGCTGCTCTTATTCTAAGTTTAATCCAGATGCTTCTACAAAACAAAACCATTTCCTGCTATGTGTGAAAACAAGAACATGTGTATGACATAACTTTACATAACAAATTAAACTATTGGATATAAAGTCCACGCCCCCCCCCCCCCCCCCCCCCCCCCCCCCCAACTCCACTCCTCATCTGATCCATTTATATTGGGCATCAGCCGTGGCTCCAGTCCACATTTTCCTTGGGTATTAAGTTGCGCTGCACTTGTTTCAAAACGAAAGAATCAATTCAAGGGTGCAGTGAAGCTCAACTATGACATGGATCAGATGTAAGTGCTCCCAATGTACAACTGACAGCAGTCGAGTCATGCCTTAAACTACTTTGTATGTTGTCACACGCCCTGCTGTAAAGCTCCTGTCCAAAGGCATCGCCTGAAAGAAATCCAGTTGCCTGGAGCCTCAACACCCAACACTTTTATAAAAAGGTTTCTCCTCCGTCAGGATGAACTGCCACAGTGAAGGATTTCAACCTCCTGTTAGACACATTTGCTGTTTCATAAAGCTTCGTCCTCTGCCTTTCGCTCGTGCATTAGCGTCGTGCTGACGTGAGCTGGTTGCCAGGGATCGGATACAGTGTTTGCAACTGCAAGTGTGTGAAATTGCATCATGGTAGGTGTTGCACGCTGCTGTGATTTTTATCTTAAAATTTACACCAATGAATAAACACCTAGGGACACCTAGTGGCATTAGGTAAAAAAAAAAAAATATATATATATATAGAGTATATACACACACAGGGGGTCTTTGGTTTATGACATCCTCGACTTCTCGTCGCCATCTCCCATAAATTAAAGTCTTGTTCCACCATTCAGACTTGTGACGTTAAAACGCGACTACTTTGGTACATTCACTTTCTTTCGTTCGTGTCGTTTCATTTAACGCGACAACTACTTTGGTACATTCACGTCGTTTCTTTGGGGGGGGGGCTTTTTGCCCTTGAAAATGTCTCGCATGTGTAAGTAGCGTAGGTGAGTGACAGAGGTACTGATGTACAGCATGTTAGCAGAGACTTGCGGTGAAAATTGAGTAACGCTGCACTTTAGAAACGGAACTCTGACAAAGGTCTCTGAGTCCCTGTATGGATATGTATAATGGTTGTTAAACAAATGTAGTTTGTGTGTAGCGGATCAAAGTGAAAGTGAAAGTGCAGTGGGGTTATTGGGTAAACAGTGCGTTTCATTCTCCTCATGCTCACTTTAAATGAGTTATTTATCATTTTATCTTTGACGATTTCATCTGGCACCAAATGGAATAAACCAACATATTTGTGTTGCCCACGCGGACGAATTACATCTATGACCAAATGAGTGCGAGCAACGTGGAATGAGAAACGGTTGATGCTAAAATTGACTTGCGGTTCAGACAACATATATTACTGGTAACCTTGTTTTTCACTCAGGTCGTGAGTGTCGTCTATGTGTATCCAGTTGAATAAAACGACTCTGGTCAAGTTGTTCTTCTTCAGCCCGGTTTTAACCAAAGACTGATGAGATGAAAAGGTCAGACAGGTGTTCCTGCCACACCGCCGTGAAGTAAATGCATTTCACGTACAAACGGGAGCTAAAACAACATGAACACGTTAAACAAATGAGTAAAAACAACAGGGGTTGGTGCGCCCGGGGGTGGCACACTTCAGAATGAGGTAACATAAAATAGCTAACAACTGTTAAATGTGAGATAGCACTTCCTCAGAAACCTGTCTTCAGGCGGCAGGAGGAATAAAACAGCAACAGGAATAGGTTTATAGGAAAACAATATAAACCTGGGCTCTGTCGATTTTAATCACTATTAATCTGTCAATAAGCATTTGAGGATCATACGGTAGTTAAACAAGTTAAGATTAAAGTTGGAGATTTTAGCTTTTGGCTGAAAACGGGCCAGTAGTTTAAGAAAAAAAAACTCCCATATTTGCTGTTAGCAGTTAGCTTTGTTTATCCTATACTACATACAAATGTAATGTACTTAAAATATAATGTAGAATATATAGTAAAATGTTTATATTAACCAGTGTCTAATGCCTGTATAAATACGTTGTTATTCATTTCTACATAACCAATATAGGTTTATACATTTGTGTTTTCAATTTAAAATGGCCAAAACTAAAACGGGAAAAAAAACCCAAAAACTAATCTGCCAATATTATTAATATTCAGTTAAAGTGAAATAAAAACTTTTTCTTAGATCCTTGCAAATGACAAATTTGCCGATTTTACTTTTTATTGCATTTTTTAATTAATAACTTCAGATAAAATTGCACTTGTACATCAAAGACCGTATGGTGACTGGGACGCTTACGCAGGAGGTCTCACCTCATTATGAAGAACGTTTGGCAGCAGTTTCCACGTGTCTCCGAATGTGTGCTAGCACTAATTGTTGCACCTCCAGATTTCATCTTTTTTAAAAACTATCACACAAACGAAAAAATAATCACTTCTGCATACGGCGGTGTGAAGCTGTGAAAGGCCTCCCGCAGTTTGTTAAAGTTGGAAGTTAAAAGGAGACGACGAACAGTAAAAAAAAGAGAAAGAAGTGAAGCAGATGAGGAGCAGTGTTAGAGCTGTGGCAGAGAGAGAAACTCTACGGTTGTCCGCTCCAGGCTTTTCATGAATATAAGCATGGGTTTCAACACACAATTATGACGAAACTCCTGCCCGTGCCCTGAAGGGTAAAGGAACTGGACTGACCGAACCTGAACTTGACCTCAGCCTTTGACCCCTCCCACCCACTGCGCTCACTCTCAATGCGTGAGGAACTGTGTAGAAAAAACCTCATCAGTTACACCCGACAGCAGCACGGAGGATGAAGGCGGTACTGTAGCAGAGGAAACTTTGCTGAGTGAAAAAGTATCTGCTGTATCTGCAGGGATGTGATTAGAAAGAATGTTTGACATTAAGCTGCAAGTTTGTGAAATATATCACGGCCAGATTTGCATGCACTGTTTAAAATGTTGGCGTTTGTGAGCGCCTCCTGCTGCCAGCTCTTTATGGTGAAAAATGCAGCAGTGTCTTCCTGAAAAAAAAGTTAGGAACGAGTAAAGTATGCTGGATAAACTGCAGTATATCTGCTAAATGAGTTAGCATCTATGTAATTATTCAAAAACAGTCAAGATCGTTGTTTCTACTCGACAAAAAGGGGTCCGGTTTGATGTCGGCAACAAAAGGTTGTGGTTTTTTGAAAAGAAAATGGAGATGGATGTTTTTCAGTGATTGGCTAAAAAAAAAAAAAAAGCACAGTGAGTGATTTACAAGAGCTGAAGGAGATACACACTGTGGATTACAGTCTCTGCAGGAAACACCACCTCAGAGAGGTAGGAGATCAAGAAGTGGTACCAGCGGAGTGTGTGGCTATGCAGCATCAAGACTAGTGTGTAGGACGACAGTGGAAATGGAGAAAAGGAAAAGAGTTAAAGCAGAGCCGAGACTGAGGTGGTGAAAAGTGTTGCGGAGAGTTCAGGGAAGGGTTGAGACAAACTGCCGTAGGACTGAGAAAGAACAGCAAACATCCTGGCAGGTCGGTGGCTGACGCTGGTTTAGTTTAGAGGAAAGGAGACGAGGACTGGTTGGTGGTGGGAAAAGAGAGTGTAGGAGGGCATTTAAAATAAGGCAAGGAGACAGTAGAGGATTGATGGTTAGCTAAGGGAGCGGTGCGGATGGTGAGAAACTGATGAAAATGTTCTACAAGAGGTTGGACAGAAAAGATGAGCAGAACGATTTGTACTGATTGGTAGACACAGAGATAGAGCAGGAAAAGAAATACAGCAGGTTAGGGTGACAAAGGATAGAGATGCTATCCTTCACACCGAGTGAAAGGGTATTTAATTGTTCAGCCTGGTACTGTCCAATTGACCAAGAAAACTTTATTTGAGTAAATACGTTTTCACAGCCGTCAAGTGAAATAGATAACTTTCCAAGGTAGACAAATGTCTGCCTTCAACCACCAACCTATTGACCAGATTAAAATGTTTTGGGGTAGGCACTTTCAATAGCCCAACCCTAGACACCTTTAAATCATTCCTCGAGACCTACCTCGTTACCATGACGTTTCCCCTTCAGTCATAAATCTGTCACTCAGCCTTTTCCTTTGTCTATTGGTGTTTCCTTCCCTCTTCCCCGTAAACTGTTTCTTCTGACCGCAACCAATAGCCCCTGCCCATGCCTACGTAAAGCCTCTTGGGTATTCTGGAAGGCTCCATACAAATGCAACTAATTACTGCTCTTAGGAGAACAATGTCGTAAACCTGTCCTGCACTACGGCAGTGTATCGTACTGCACAGCTGGAGACCAGCTAGTTGTTGATCAAATTCGACAACAGTTCCCTGACCCGGTTTCTAGACCAGACCTACTTTTCTTTGCTAACCTATCACCGCAGGAGTGTTTGCACAACCAGCCTTTTGACGCCAGCTTCAG